ACACAAGAAAACATCTTTCTGGTCTTCTTTGCTCTCAGCCAAGATCATTAAGAACCACTGCCTTATAAGAACAGAGGACTAAGGAAACCCACAAGAATATTTCACACTCTAAAATTAGGTAGGAAAAAAAAATTCACAAGTATTCAAAGCATGGGAATTATATCAAATGAGCAAAAACCAAAAAGTGTAATTTAAATGAAAAACTGGGCCAAATTAAGAAACTAAGTGGTCCCAAACTACTGGAGTGGTTATGGGGAGTAAGAGGAGAGAGGACACAAGATTTTCAGACTTCCTTTTTACAAGTATTTCTGAAAGAGAAGTTGTTGTTGTCATTAGACCTATTTTTATAATATCTAAAAATGATACGGAAAGTCCAAATTGAAAATACTGTTCAAAGTGCAATCTGCAGTAATTCTGGGCATCTGCTGGTTCGCTGAGAACATCAGAGAAGAGGGTATGTAGATGGGGCACACGGCACAGGAAGAGCAGGTATGCTCTAAGACCTTTAACACAACAGGGAAACGGTAGTGAGGGGTCTCCTGCCTGTTGGCAGATGAAGCCAGCCTTCGGCATCTCTAACTCCCCAGCTAACCAACACAGTGGGATGCCTGATAAAGACACACACTGCCAGACAAACATGAATGTCAACACTGGTGAATGGAAACTGCTAATGGATGGACCTTAAAAAAAGCAGAACCCTGTGGAAGGAAGGAAAAATGTCTTCTTAGTTCACTAAAAAACAAAGAAAAGAATTAAGATATTCAAAGGACAGGAGAAAGCTGGAAAACAACATTAGTACAGACTCAGAACACAGTACAGACAAGAATGAATATAACTTCTCACAGTATGGTGAACCAGTACTTCCTCTGTGACCGAACACTTCCACAAACAAGTGGGGCTGGTGAAACCCTTTGCTTGAAGTGCCTGGAGTTTTTCAGAAGAAACAAAAAGCCAGCATATCATGACTGATTTTTAACCAGAGAGGAAATTAATTTGAAGATTTCACAAATAACTGACTTAACAATATAAACATTTTTTCCAAATAAGGCAAAAAAAAAAAAAGAAAAGAAAATCTTGCTACTAAAGGGGCGGAAGTATAAATAAATTCAATCAATAATCCTGAAACTGATCTTTGCTTCACATATTTTCTTTCCTCTTTCTCCACTCTCCCTAAGCATGTTCAAGGCAGCAATAAAGTGAACCTTAATAATTTAATAATCTTAACTGTTTTAGTTATAATCAAAAACCCTGACAACTCTCCTGCTTTTGGTATGTGCCAGGCCTTGTGCTAAGTGCTGTTATGTACATTCTCTCTTTTAATCCTCGTGTGATCATATGTGTTGTTTTTATTTCCATTTTACAGATGAGGAAAAATATATGCTTAGGATACACAACTAACAAACGGTATAAAGTGGGGATCAAAAAGCCAGGTCTGATTCCATAGCCTGTGCTGCTAACTATAACCTGAAGTAGTATTTCACTTAGTGTTCCCCTCAAAGGACTTAAGTTCACATGCTCTTTGGAATAAAGAAGCAGAAAGGGGGCACAGGAAGTGGTGCAGAAGTGCTTTATAATTTATCAAGATAAGAGCACCTGCACTGCTTCTTATAAGACAAGGGGAGGGAAAAAAAAAAAAAACCCCGCATCGTATAGAACTCCCAACTCTTTTCTGGCTCTGTTATTACTAAAATGAACAAGTTGTTAACAAGATGGTCAAGCAACACCTACAGATCATAGTAAATAAATCACTTTGGCTTCAGTGGCGGGGCGGACATTATGCAATACTTCCCAGCACAGCCCTCCACAGGATATTTTACCGCACTTGGGCACTTGGGCCCCGCCTCTCAGCTAGACAGCCTGGCTCCTTCTCATTCCCCTCAGGAGATAGGGTGGAAGCGCACAGCACTACTTTCTAAGGCATAAAGGGCAACTCCAAGTCCTGCTGGGCCTTTCTGGGCAACCACAGGCGCCAATAAATCAGCCACAGGCGATTCTCTCAGCTCCTTCCCGGCTTGAAGTGGTAGCAAGATATAACGCAAAAGAGCACTGACTGGACTTAGGAGATAAATGATCTAGGCTTGAACGCTACTGCAAATGACTGCCTCGGCACGGCCAGGTCAATCTCCCTGAGCCTTGGTCTCCTCGTTGGTAACATGGAGACAGAACCACCTTCTTGGTAAGAATCAAATATTTGAAAAAAGTTTAGCAGGTACTCAATAAAAAGCAACTGACCTGAGCAGAATCTGCTTCCCCTATATACAAATAAAACATCTGGAGTAGGGCTGGACACAAAGGTGCAGCAGGTCCCATGGGGTTCATCCCCACTTTCTGGCTGACCATCCCTGTGATGTTCCACTGTTTCCTGATCACCTCCTAGCCACCAGAACTAACCTATTCCATGTCCTAGTCCATGAGTGTTCAGTCCTTATTAAGGAGCTCATGTGTGATAACAGATTCATGTTGTTGTTGTTGTTATGTGCCATCGAGTTGGTCCCGACTCATAGCGACCCCTCCTTGGGTTTCCGAGGCAGTATCACTACGGAAGTAGGATTGCCCAACCTTCCTTCCGAGGAGTGGCTGGTGGGTTTGAACCGCCAGCCTTCTGGTTAGCAGTCAAGTGCTTTAGCCACTATGCTACCAGAGTATACCCTTAACTAAAACATATCCAGATTACTAAAGAAGACTTTAATGCCTTAACCCAAGGGAAAAACCGATGTTACAAATGTTGGTTATTCTTGCAGAGAAACAGGGATGAACTAGGGGAAGGAGTCAGGCTATCAGCTTGAAATTCCATCAAGGCCAGTCTATCCTACCTAAAAATAGTGCCAACTCCATTCCTTATAATACCAGAGCCATCACATCACTAGCAATGCCTGATTTCTCAGCAACGTGATAGCAAGTGGGTTAAGAGGGCACTGCAGTCTTGTTAGTGGTGTAGTTGTAAACTAAACAAGATGTCAGCCACTCTGTGGGAAAAAGAAGCAGTCTACTTCCCTAAAAATTTACAGTGTTGGAAACCCTAAGGGGCAGTTCTACTCTGTCCTATACATGCAATGAGTCAGGATCGACTAGGTAACAGTAGTAGGTTTGGGTGGTCATCCTGGTGTGTTAGAGAGTAACAAACGGCCAAGTCGTCTGAAGCCTTGGAGTGTTCTACTCGAATGATCTCGATCAAACCACATGCTCTTTAGCCTTGGTATCCTTATCTATAAAATAAAAAGGCTGAACTGGATTTTCTAAGGCCTCTCTCAGTTCTAAAATCTGTGATTCCAAAGTGTACTTTACACATTTGGACAAAATCCTGTGAAAGAATCAACAGCTCTGCCAAAAGGACTTTAGTCTTAGGAGAATGAATGCCAAATTTAATCCCTTTGGAGGAAAAGGGCGTTAATGTATTAAAACATGTATTTAACTACTGTCAAGTTCCAGGTATGGCACTAGGCGCAGTGCAAACAGTCTGGTAACAGCTTGATTTCTCCAAATACAGTGCTAGAAAAGATGATGGTAAGAAGGCAAGCTTCGAAAAGAAAAACTAGATTTGCTTAGAACAAGACTAATGTAACTTGATAAAAGGAGAGAAATGAATGGGGGGGAGGGCTTCCTGCTCTAAACACTGCATGATCCCACATTGGAGGAGGGCACAGTGACCGCAGTATCCTCGCAGCCTACACCTGGAGATCAGCCCGCTTTACAGGAGGGATCGGCGCGGTTGCCCGGGGGATGCTGCAGGCCAGTCGAGCCATTCGACGCGGGGTAGCACCCGGCCTGCAGCAGGGAGAACTCCACTACGGCGCCCCCGCGCGCCGTTCCCTACAGGGCCCGTTGGCTGTCCAGGGCGGTCAGCGAGGGGTGGCTTTGGGGCATCCTCCGTCAGCGCTCACCCCGGGTTGCCATTTTCCTCCTCTGCCCTGACATCTCAAACAGATCAAAACACCCCACTCACTCCCCAGCTACTTGCTTCAGTTCCGCGACCGGCGTAGCTGCAGGCCACTGCCCCGGGCGGCTCGCGGCGGGAGGGGCTGAGCGCGGAGCAGCCCAGAGGGGCTGGGCCGCGACGCTTACCCAGATGCCGCCGCGGCCGCGAGCCGGCTCCTCCGTGCGGGAGGGGCAGGCTCCCGCGCCGCACTCGGCACGCAGCTGCGCTGACTATAGCACCCCCGCGGCCCACTCTCGCGCGGCTTCCCGCTCTGGCCGCCCCGCGATGGGCCCACGTGATCGTGAGCCTGGTAGCCGGGGAACGAGTGTATTGGGACCGAAATGTGCGTGCGTGCGTGCTTACGTGCGCGCCCGCCGGACCAAGTGGTCGGGCGGGGGTCGGCCGGCGCTCCGGGCGCTGCTGCCTAGGTCTCCAGTGGTGATTGGTAGTGGTAACATGTTTTAAGCTACCTACTGTGGTAGGCGGAAGCGTGGGGACGAAACTGGACGTCACAGGCTCCCCACACACAACCGCGTGACCCCGGGACTTTCCCCAGGGTGTGCAAAAGCACGGACACCCTTTCATTTCTGGGGTGGGGGTGGGGAAGGATGCGTCCGCGTGTTCGCGGGGAAAGGGGTTGGGGCGCGGGGCCAGGGAGGCTGAGCTGCATGAGCCTGGGAGGGGAGGCAGGCTGGGCGGGGTGGGGTATGTCGGGGGAAGTGACTCAGGGCCAGAGGCGGACAGGCCCAAGGAAGGCAGGGTGGGGGAGCGCAGGGAATGGGCGACTCCGAACGGACCCGCCTCGGATGGGACCGGGCAAGGGTGCCGGCGCCCTCTTAACGCCGGAGGCGTACCGTGAGGGAGGGTCCAGCTGCTGGGTCCTGCGGGGCATGGGTCTGACATCTGGAACAGTGTAGGGAAGTAGCATCCTGCCCTTGGGGAGTCGTGAGGAGCTCAGTCCCATCCAGCTGTGCAAACAGGAGGAGGTCCCAAGCATACCCTTGGGAGAGGGGTGGTCAAGCCGCCGCCACCGCACCGCGCCGGCCCCCACGGTGCGGGTTGCGCCGGCCTACTCGGAGCCCGACGCAGAAACTTGTTGCAACAAACAGGCGACCGCGGGTGCCCCTAGCAGCCAGCGGCGGAGTGGGTGGGCGGGCGAGAGGGAGGGGAAGGCTGGCGGACGCCGCAGCGAACTGGTGGGCAGACCCGGAGTCGCCGCGTAAGCGGGGCCGGCTCAGTGCGGTGCGGCAGGCGCGGCTGTGCGGCAGCGGAAGTCCTTTGTTGCAGCGCAGTCCCTGGCAGAGCCAGAACCTCTCCGCGCAGCCCAGCCCAAGCGCTGCGCGCCGCCGCCACTGCAGCTCGCGGCCCCTTCACCTCCGCCCGCCTTTCCCGCGGCTGATTTGCCTTAAACTCCCTAAAATCTCCGCAGCTGTGCTTCCTGCTGCGGCCGGTAAGTATTTGCCAGTTGTAGGGTTATTTGCGCAACTTTGACCCGGGCCGGAAGGCGACGGGCCGTGGGCCTGGCGGAGTGCGGGGTCGGAGCGGCGCCGACCGGTGCGGGGAGCCGGAACGCGGCGGACGCGTTGGGAAGACCCGGCGACAGGCGACTGCCGGGCCGCCTGCTTGATCCCGCCGTCTGCTGGCGCGTCTACTCCGGGGCGTGCGGCCTCTCAGGGTCGGAGGCGAAACCCCTGCGAAGACTAGTTCCCAAATTAGTTACCTTCTTTTTCCTTTCTTTCCCTGCCTTTATTTTTTTGAGGGGGGAGGGGAGGGGAGGTGTAGACGGGAGGCGGGAGGACCTGGTTTGATTGACGTGCCCAGAGCCCGCTTCTCTCAACTTACAGCTGCGGCTCCTGGGCGGGTGGGAGGGGAAGTGTCCCGGAGCCCGAGGCCGCAGACTTGGGCGCGCTCCGAGGGAGGAGGCGTAAGAGCCGTGCAAATTCTTGCTACGCTCTTTCCCACCCCCTCTCGTCGGCACACACGGTTTTTGTTCTGTAAAAAGTGGGTAGGTCTGGAGTTTGGGAATTTACTGTGAAAAAGATCTGTTTCCTGGGAAGAAAATGTTTTCGCCTTCCATGGTGGCCACTTACTGTAAGTTCTGTTAACATTCGATAAATGTGTTGGATGTTTGTCCAGAGTTGTTACCACTAAAATTTGTAGGCATGGGTCTGAGCTTAACCACCCTTTCTACCTAAGCAACGCGTTTACATTAATCTGAAGGGTTGCGATGACTTTTGCCAAATTGGCATCATCAAGGGGAGGTGGATATTTCGACGTTTTCTGGAGATAGTGTATAGGACACATGCATGTGTGTAATACTATTTTAAAATCGAGTTTCACGCAGATTCTCCATTGGCCTAAGTGTATTTCCATAGATTATATATCATTGCAGGAAAACTGTTGCGGGAACAATTATGCCTTTGACACTTGAACTGAAGGAGCGGTCGAGGGATTTTTGAGGCGTCTTTGGATCAGTTTCTTGAGCTGACGTTTAACACGCTCTGGAGCAGATTTAATGAAGGATGCATTTCTCACAGTAACTTCAAAGCAATCAGGATCTTTTCCTTTGAAGCGGACAAGTTAGATTCTGTGGCATTTGCTCAGTATAAATGGATATGGTCTGGAGAAATGGAGAGTTGGGATACAAAAAGAAGACGCTTGCATGATCCTAGTCATCATTTCCTCAGAACCTCAGCACTTTCTTTTTTAATCACGTGCAGATATCAAACAGTTTCAATAAGAACTGAATGGCTTTGGGAGCTAAGTGGGGGCCTCCTCATCTTAAAAGAAAAAGAAAAACAATTTGAAGCATAGCGCAGGTGGAATGCTTTTCCAAAAGTTAATAAACACAGAAAGTCTGCAGTAGAGCCCTCAGTTAACTTCTTACACTTAGGAGGAAAGTAGGATTTCTTCAAGACCAAATTTTCAACTCAGGTTAAGCAGTCATTCCTGATGTCTTTGCGTCTGTCTCATCGCTAATATGATAGGGCCTGCTTTTTTGATGGGACCCTGGTGTGTCATTGTCAAAGAAAGGAGAAAGCATGTTTCACTAGGATCTTAGTAAGACATGAGCACAGAGTCACTCACTTGGTCTTGACCTTGTGTTTTGATTTCACTTTCATTAACACTACTAAATTTCTGTGCTGTTTCTTAATTCTCCTCTTTTGCCAGGCTCTGGGGAAGATACAAGTCATGGACCTTTTTAAGAATGTCGTTTGTGTTCCTTGCAACACCAGCTCTCATTGTAATATGCAGGAGAAAGGTGCCTCCTTTCAGGTCTCCCCTCTAGCCAGGAAAAGTACTAAGCCTCTCTGCAACCTTCTGGCCCAAAAAGGAGAAAACCGTTTGGGGTGGGAGTGCCGAAAAATTTCCATGGGTGTTTTTATGATTATTATTATTTTCACTGCAGTCTGTTGTCTTCCAAAAAAAAAGTTTGGGGTATATTTGAGAAGCATCTGCTTGGGAGGTCACTTTGGTCTCTACTGGATCTGTTTTCTCTGATACATTCTTCTGTGCTAGATATCTCTTACCATAAAATATTGAACTTACTTTATTTTATTGTTATTTGTTCTCATACTCTTATGTGAGTCACATTGAAACTTAATTTTCCTCAAAATGGAAAATTTTAAATTATACATGCTCTTTATAAAAACTCAAGCTATATTGAAATACATAAAATAAAAAATTGAAAATCATTCTCCCACTCCCCAGAGATGATCAGTTCTGTGTTTTAAAAACTAGAAAATGCAACACAGGATCATAGCCACTGTGTGTGCCTTGCCCTGCCAAGGGATAGCCTGTGGTGATTCACGGGCTCTTGTTCTCTGCTCACTACTTAGGTCGGTGGAAATTGCCAGGTAGGGAAAAGGGAGTATTTTGCATTGGGCTGATTTAAAATTCTAGGATTAAGAAACAGACTTGAGAGTTTAAATATAACAGGGCTGCTATTTTAGGCTTGTCTTTATGACATAGTTGCTGTACCTTGGTGGGTTCTCATACTTTTTTAATGTTACCATTACTGTCTAGCCTCTGATAGATTCCTACATACCAGTTAAACCCATTAAAACAAGACAAAACCCTCACATTTGTAGAGAGTTTCTCAGTTGATAAGAGGGAAAGTATAGGTATACTTGCCATGAAGACTACTGCCCGAGATACATGGCTGTGCCGATATGGGATGGGGGTTTCTCTTGATGAGTACCCACAAGCTGCTTGCCAGACAGATCCAGTGATTTAGAGGAGAGAGTCGGGTTAATCACTGTGCCACCTTCAGATGTGGTGTGGAAGGGGCTGATTTGGCGAGGGGATAGCAGGGACTCAGCCCTGAATGCCACTCATAATTGGTGTCTTGGTACGTATTTAAGATAGACTTGTAAGTATACTTACATTTTTGTATGTATAGTTATTTGTATACTAACTATAAGAGATCCTGGTCAAAGTGCAGAAGCACTTACTCCTTAGCTGGTGTATGAACTGTGAAGAAGCTGGTATTCTGGAAACAAAGCCTCGAAATGGTACATAGTAATGTAGTCACAGCATTAGTTCCAAAGTGTTAGGGACGTGGGTGTTTTGTACACTACTCTGTCTTTGAATTTTAAAATGTTTATCAGAATAAAATTTGAAAATGAAATAAGTCACCAATCAGATTTTCTGTTAGTTCTCTTTGTGAGGTGCATGTGCCACTTTTTAGAGAAAGAGCTCCGTCTCCTTTTGGAATCTGTAATGGTGGTAGGGGTGGCATGCTGTGTGTGTGGGGGGGCAGTCATTCTGCCTGGGAGGTGAAACAGTGTGAGAGCGATGAAGACTTCTGGATTCATGAAGAAGGGTCTGAGACTTAGAATATTCCAAGGGGCACTTCAGTTAGTAGTCACGCCCAGAAAGAGTACTGCCTGGTTTATAAAACTAGCGGGCTTGGAGCAGAGTCAGAGCTTGAGCCCTAGCTTCTGCTTACACTGTGAGCAGTTTGGGGGCAAAGCGGCTTCTCAGTCTGTTTCCTTATTCCTCCTTGATGAGAATAAAATACCTACTTGGTGGGGTGGTTGTGCGAATCAGGTGTATAATGTTTGTGAAATTGCTTTGTAAATTTTTGACCACTATATAAAAGTTACCAGGATTGAAATAATGCAGAAAATTGATAAAGCAAAAGGAAACTTAACTACTTCAACATTTATTCATTCAAAAAGTGATCAAATGCCAGCTAAATGTCAGGCAGCTGCTCCAGGCTTGGGGGATACAGGGATAACTGAGGCAACGCTCTGATCTCAAGGAGCGCACAATAAAGCATGCGAGAGAGCATTGCCTTTTGGATGCAACATTACCTGTCACCCTGTAGCTGGCTGTGTAGATATGCAGAGCTGTATGCATCTGCCTCACCTGGAGGATCAGAAAGAACTTCCCAAAGGGAGTGAGCTGGACATCAAAAAGGTTCTGAACAAAAGGAATAGCTTTGCTGTGTTAGGTGTCTTGGGATGAGGGGAAGCCATCCACTCTTAAATAGATTTAAGGCTTACATTTGGAGTTAACACATTTTAGAATGAACACTTTTCATGATACTCTATTGGTTTCCTTTCATGGAATTTTAACTAGATAAAAGTGAAATTTTGAGGATTTTGGTTAGAATTTAAAAACACTGGAGCCACACATTGGAAGCAAAAATTAAAATGTGTGGGATCTGCTGAAAGAAGGAAACTTCAGTATACCTCCCATCATCAGAGAGAGAGAGCTGCCTCACAGCAACATTTTTTGAATGCTTTTGTTCCAGTGAAACGCATAAGCCCTGTCCTTGCCTTCAAGCTGCTCAGAATCTAATAGGGGAGACCAACACAAAGATAACTGTAGCGGCTGATTCTTAGCACTTAACGGTGGCAGACGCTGCCTCACAAAAGCTAGGAAGGATTCTCATTCTCGGATGAGGATATCGAGGCACAAAAGGGTTGAGCAACCTGCCCAAGGTCACACACAGCCAGAATTTGAACCCAGGCAGCCTGTGCTTTAACTCCTACTTGATGTTGCTATTCTGGTGATTAAAGTACAGCGTAATAGGTGCAATCAGAAAAGAGGAGGCGGGGATACCGGGTGATGCTGAAACCTACAATAGTGGGAGAAGGTGGTGGTACAGAAGGCTTTCAGTAGAAGGCGACAAACAGTATTAAAGAGCTCTGGTGGCGTAGTGCCTAAGGCATTTGAGTGCTAACCAGAAGGCTGGCGGTTCAAACCCACCAGCCACTCCTCGGAAGGAAGATGGGGGCAATCTACTTCCGTAGTGATACTGCCTCGGAAACCCAAGAGAGGTCGCTGTGAGTCGGGACCTACTCCATGACAGTGAGGTTTTTTTTTTTT